AATAACCATGTCGCAATATACACACAACCTCCCCACAACAACCTCAACGTCAACGTCAACCGCAACCGCAACCGCAACCCAACAACAACCCAGCACCCTGGATGACACGCTGCTCAACCAACCGCACACCGGAGCTCCCGCAACGGAATCTGCCCCTCCAATCCCTCCTCGACAAGGACCAGTAGGCGGGATGTCGACGATGTCGAGCGAAGAAGCGACAGCAGGGGCCACATCCTGGCCAACAGCTGCGCAAAGAGGGGCGCGAAGAGAGGCGCAAAGAGAGGAGCAAAGAGAGTTGCAAACAGCAGGGGCCACAGAAGGGCCGACAACGGGAGCGAAAGCAGGAGCCACAGCAGCCCCAACATCAACGGCGGTTCCCACGGGAGCCCCAGCAGGCGCACCAGAGACCACAGAAACTGTTCCCAAACAATCCACAGGCGTCGGCCACGGGATCAAATCCGCGCTTGCTGGTATCCACGTATGTAGAGGGACCTCTCTAAAAAGAAAAGAAAAGAAAAGAAAGAGAAAAAGATTCACCAGCCTAAACCAACGTGCCCCAAAGAATGAAAGAGTATAAGCTAACGCTCGTGTTTTAAAACACTAATATAGGGTGTCGGTGAATCTATCCGCGCCAGTGTGAATGCAGCTGTTGACCGCGCGATGAAGGATGACGAAGGCGCAAGGAAGAACGAGGCGATTGCGAGGGAGGGAAGGAGGGAGCTGGAGACGGGGAAGTTTAGTCGGGCTACAAAGGCTAGGGAGGAGGGCAAGGAGCATGAATTTGAGAAGCTTTGAGGCTGGGAGTCTTGGAGAGGAGTGACAGAAGAGGTGTGAATTTGTATGACGAAGGTGTACATATTGAGATGTTTGGGGACAGTGCTTGCTTGCAAAGCATTGGCGATCCAGGGAAGAGTTTCCGGAATTTGAAGTCGTTGATAACGAATACCCAAAATGACAACAGCAACACGATGATCTTTCCAAAAGGCCTCATCAGAATAGAGTTAACCGACGGTGGCGCAATTGTCCAAAATAATCAGAAAATTACCCCATGGGATTTAACAGGCCGCCGTTATGTAACCGTCACATGTAGGTGGTCATTCAACCTGATGTGCGCTTCTGCATAGTCGCATTCAAGAGTAGATAGAGCTGGTTCCACCCAGCCATACATAATAAGCATGGTCAATCAATCTCTGAGGGAAATGACAGATCTTCCCAAAAAAGGGTTCCATGAAGCCGAATTTGGACGACCACTGTGGAATCCCGTTTTTACTAGGGGGGGGGCATAGCGATGCCAAAGGCCTAGGATCACTGAAACGTCGAGCGTGGTGAGATAGCCTACAGCTTATGCCCATCGGGAACAGCGACGACGGCGCCCCCTGAACATAACGGGGTGAATCCAGGGGCCTGGAATCCCCTCTTCCCCTCCAAGGCTATTTGCTTCTCTGGGGGCAGCATCCCATGAAAGGATTGCTGAATCATGTATTTTACCGATGCTCAACAGCTCGATGGAGGGAGGGTGTTCCGCGCAGCATTCATTAGTTACGCATTGAGAAGACATGGACCCCGTAACTAGTTAACTAACTAGTTGCTCCGTTCGAAGTGGAGAGGACTAGAAGCATCGAGGAGCCACAGCTGCTGGCGCTGCTAGACTCACCACCCCCGTACTCTGTGAATTGAAGCCAGAAGGCCGTCTGTGTGAGATGATGTTCGATCATGATGTTAGTTACATGGAATCACGTGTCGGGCGCCGACGCGTTTCGCCAGTTTTCAGCCCCACCGAAATAACTACTTGAATCGGGCTGCTTTTCCTTCGACCCGTTTGCCTCTTTGCATTCTCATCCACGAGATATCTTCGTCAGGGCCTCACCGGAGCTTCCAGCCAGGAAGGCAAGAAGATTCTTTCAGCTATTCACGCATTCAACGGGAGGTCAAATCTCGAAGTGTTATAGAAGCTGCCAGCTCGTACAGCACTCCTTTTCCTACTCTGCACAACAAGAGAGAGTTAACTTAAGACCTTGGAACTTTACCTGAAGAGTCAGCCCTTGCCCAGCGATTCTATGGATGAACGTGTCCAGCCTCCCCTGGTGACTGCCGAACGGGAAACAGCCAGTCGTCTTACCGGCCGTGATGCTTCTGCTACTTCATCTCTTGTTGGTGAATCCCGGGATGGACGATCCATTAATAACCGTCCTATATTAAAATCCAAGCCCTTGCGCTCGTATGGTCGCCAGCGGGCTCTTCGTGAAAATCCCCAGATTATCCGTGATTGGTGTAAGCTCGTACGAAACCACGTTGAGGAGCATGGGGTTCTTCCAGACGATATATACAACTTTGATGAGGCGGTATTTCAGATCGGGGAAATTGGGGCAGCTAGAATGGTGACTGGATCGGAGGTAGTCGACCATGCGAAGCTTATACAGCCTGGAAATCTAGAATGGGCGACTGTTGTGGCAGGAATCAATGCCACTGGCTGGGCTCTTCGTACGATGATTATCCTCAAGGGAAAGGAGCGTCGGTCCTCTTGGAGTGCGACAGGGAAGCTCCCACATGACTGGGTGATTGAAGTCAGTGACAATGGCTGGACAAATGATAAGCTGGGACTGTTCTGGCTGAAAGAGGTGTTTAACAAGGAGACTCTACCCCGTACTAAAGGCAAATATCGAGTCTTGATTCTGAATGGATATGGAAAACATTTCTCAGTTGCATTTGATTGGTTCTGCATGGAGAACAACATCATTGCTCTCTATATGCCACCACATTCATCCCATCTGGTGCAGCCGGTGGATGTTGGATGCTTTCCACTGCTAAAGAAGGCGTACGAACAACAGGTGGAAGAGCAAATGCGGCTTGGAATCAGCCACATTGACCAGGAGGAGTTTTTGACCATATATCCTGTGGCTCATGAGCAGGCTCTAAACGAGAACAACATCAAGAGCAGTTTCAGAGCTGCAGGACTGGTCCCGTACGACCCAGAGCAAGTTATCTCACGTCTTAATACTCCGACGCGTGCCCGCACCCCTCGAGGGACTTCTCGTAACTCCCACGCCTCCCGGGCCACTGCCATACCACGTAATGTACGCCAATTGGAGCAGCAGATTGAAGGCCTCGAAAATACCTAGCACCATAAGCAGAGTTCACCCAGTCCTTCAATTTATGTTCTGAATCAGCTAGTGAAATGGTGTCATATGGCTACGGACAGTGCGGCTATTCTGGCAAAGGAAAAAGCAGGCGAATTAAGAGTTGCAAATGAGACGCAAAAGAGAAAGCGAGAAAAAGCGAGGAAGAGACCATACAGATGTAGCCCGGGATTGCGCAGTGTGTGGGGGTTGTTGTTGTTGGACATGCTGCTCTCGTCCATGCTCTCAGCGCAACAGATAGTTCTTGATGTAATCCACTGCTTTCTCTATATAATTGTTGCTCGACTTTATGTGAAATACTTCAGATGGCAAAAGCCCGATTGACTAGGTGATTGGTTTCATTAACTCCTCCTCAATTGAATGTCTTGACTCCAGTCATTTTCAGCAGCTGCGCACACAGCGACTGAGGTCGATGCTAGACACACAATTACGTGCTACATTTTCTCTCTCATTTCTGCCTCCATGTCCCTCCGATTTTGCCAGGCTGCCCACAGCGTTATTAACTCAGCAGATTCTCCGTGACGCAGTTGGTCATTGGTTGGTTGGAATATTTGAATGTTCTGGATCGACCTACTGCAGCAGTGAAGAGCCCAGTTAGAGTTGACTTTCGTAAGCAACTCTGGAAGCATCGCAGCCACATTGACGAGTTGACCCAAACTACCTATCGAATATGGGGCTCCAGAGGCTGGACTTTTGGCTGCAACATGCGTTGGTGCCCAACTGCTGAATGGATATTCCCAGCCAAAAGCGTTAGGGTGCTTCTTTTTAGCACCTGCGGGGCAGCCCCGCAGTTGGAACAAAACAACCGTGAGCACCCATACAAAATGGAGGAAAATTGACGGAAGATTCACAACTTGACCACAACTGGTTAGTTACGCAATGAAATTAAACTCGACGTGCCTGTGGAGACTGGGCTAACCAGTCCGCCGTCTTATCCATGGATCAATGAAAAAAATATCTGTTGATGCGGTCCTGTGGTCTTTCAACGCTCAATATCAAGTATTTTGGATCCCAGGAGAAGCGGCCCGCTTGTCGCATTTCTTCCCTTTGATGCCTTGATCAGGCCGGGTGCACGGCATCCTGTCTGCTCCCTCTCGCTCCTCCTCCTCCTACTCCTCTCCCCCTCCTGCAAACCGCGCGCCTGAGCATATCTAGCGTTGACACTCGAACCATAATGGGTTAGACCTTGGAATAAAGATCCCAATTTCCAGCTCATGAGTTTCGCTAATGATCTGTCTGGGCCAGCGGATTCAAATGTTCGTCAAACCCTCTTCTCTTACACGTCGGGGCGATTCATCTACAACGAAACAAAGCGTCTGGCGGAAAGATATGTTGTATTCAATGTCGCAGCACTCAAAGAAGCAGTCTGCAAACATACAGGTCGGTCCAGGGTGACCAGCCTCGCGAAGCTTGCAGAGGGCCGTTTCAATCGGGTTTTCCTCCTGGCTCTAGATGATGGCCTTCAGGTTATTGTCAAAATCCCCTTCCACAACTCGCTCCCCAAACAGTTTGCCACCGCCAGCGAGGTTGCAACCCTCTCATTTCTTCGCACAAAAGGTGTTCCCGTTCCCAAGGTCTATGGCTGGTCATCGGTGGCCGATAACGAAGTCGGGACCGAGTATATCGTCATGGACTATGTTTCTGGCGTTGGCCTGGACACCAAATGGTACAACTTGACGAGACAAGAGCAAACCACTGTGGCTATACAGATCGTCGAAGTGGAGAGGATACTCTTCAACATTCCCTTCGGCTCATACGGAAGCATATATTTCAAGAAGAATATTCCTCCCAAATTGCAGTCGAACCTCTACGTCCATGGGGTTAAAGATCCATTGGGAGATTCTGACATCTTCTGCATTGGGCCGACCGTGGATTACAGGTTTTGGCATGGCAAACGGGCCGAGATGCAAGTGGATCGCGGACCATGTAAAGGAAACCACTCCTTTGAAACAGTCGATGCTCCTGGGATGTAAGCTGACCTGCCAACTATCCTAGGGCGTAACCCGCATGAATATCTTGCAGCCATCGGGAAACGTGAACTAGAATGGACCTACCGGTACGGAAAGCCGCTTGAGGGAGACTTTCCTTTCAACAAAATTCAACCGGGAATGGTTTACCCTGGCGCATATTGCGCTTTGCTTGAAAAATATATCTCAATGTCTCCTTTTCTCTTGCCAAGGGACACCAGACACCCTGGCAATTCACCAACGCTGCGCCATCCAGGTATGCATGATGTGGGCTTTTCTTTCTTTCTCTCTTTTTAGGACTTTAGAAGTTCCGGATGCTTACAATGACAAAGATCTTACACCCAGCGATGTCTTCATATCCCCAGAAACGTTTAAAATCAGTGGGATCATTGACTGGCAGCATACGGTGATTGTACCTCGATTGCTAGCTTCCGGCCATCCACGCCTATTCAAAAGCCCCGACGGCACGCCGCCACCAACACCTGGTGCCCCTCAACCACCAGATGGATATGAGTCACTGGATCCCGAATCGAAGGCCCAGGTTGACGAATTACTCCGGCGACGATACCTGTACTATTTTTATGACGTGTTCAATCGCGCGAAAAACCATATTCATATGATTGCTTGCGCTAATTCATTACTTGAGCCACGCAAACAACTGGTGGATTATGCCGGCCGTCAATGGAATGGCAGCCTGATATCCTTACGAGGCGCTCTTATCCAGATGTGCGAATGGTGGGCTTTGCTCCAGGAACGTAGCTGGGAGACTTGCCCTATAACTTTTACGGCGGCCGAGGTGAAAGAGCAAGAAGCTCATGAGCCCATATTTTTTGACTTTACAGGCCTGATCAACTGCTGGCGAGAAGGGATAGGTGGAATGAGCGACAATGGCTGGGTGAAGACAGAGGTTTATGAGCAAGCGGCAATGCAGAACCGGGAGCTGAAAGAGCGGCTTTTGGAAAATGCTGATCCGGTCGAGTTTGACAAGATACAACGAGGTTGGCCGTTTCAGGATAAGGAGGAGTTCCTTTGACCTCGCCATGCTCCAGTTGGGTCAACCCTGTCGTGCGGGCTGGGAACTTTTCGTTACCCTTTGCTTTATCATGTTTATTATTTATCCCCTGCCCTCTCTATACTATGTAGTTGCGCTCATCAACCCATTGTAATTATCAGGCTGTGACTGGGCGCTTAGAGGACCTCTTCCGTGACCGCTCCCCTTTCCCATGTTGTATTTGCCGCCCAATTTCTTTCTATTCTTTTCTTTCTTTCCGAAAAGAAAAAACATGTTGTCCATTCCACGCCGTATCTTACTGCCCATCACATCTGCCAGATAAGTTCACCGGCGGGCTATCTTCAACATAAAATAGCATCATGCCTCCAGCTTTGTTGCGCCATGTTTCAATACCATCTCGGTCAATACACCACCGTTTAGCAGATTCCCGACCCTAAAATTATATCAAACCATTTCTCCCTTATCCTTTTAATCGCCGTTAACCATTACATATGGGCGGGGTCATGGGGCGAAAAAAAAAGATAAAAAAAAAAAAAAAAAAAAAAAAAAAAACCCTCCGCAGCGCTCTGGATTTCATTCGTGAACGTCCCGCCAATCTCGCGAAAAGACCTATTTTCACATCCAGCGAGGATTTAAAAAAAAGGCTTTGTCACGAAACACAACAACGCCGCAGGCACGCTCCTCCGAATATTTTTAAGCCCGACTTCCTGGCGATGTTCCGGGATTCGGTGACCTTTCCCTTACCGAGCCAGACCGAGACCCTTTTCCTAAGCCTCTTCTAAGCTAAAACCGGGCCCAAAAAGAAAATAAAAATCAACGAAACTTGAATTTTGCCCACACTCAGAATCGAACTGAGGATCTTATCATTACTAGTGATACGCTTTACCACTAAGCCACGCGGGCGTTTGTTGAGTGATTAGGTAAAGGATTGGATGATATTATACCTGTAGTCGCAACTTGTTAGTCTTTAACGATTCGAATAAGTGCGCTGAGTTTGCTTTCTAATAAATTATCATCCAAAACTCTGAAAACTGGCTAGATTTGGGCACGGAAAATATCACAATGGAACACACAGTATCAATCAATTCTACTAGGATTTTCGCTATGTTGAGTTTTGCGCTCCATTGGCATTGAGAGTCCTTGAGAAGAAACTACTCAAAAGCGGGTGCAGAAGAGACGAAAATTAGGTAATTAAACAAATTTCAAAAAGAGAGAATTTACTTATGCCTGAGGGCCCCAGTTACGAACCCAAATCTTAATACAAAAAATGAAATCTTGTAGATGAACTTTCATACACAGTTTACTTCCCCCTACCCCCCCCCCCAAAAAAAAAAAAAAAAAAAAACCCCTCGTCCCCTACCAACTATAATACTGCCTCTGCCCATAAATCTTCCGATCGGGCAACGAAACCCTCAACTCGCTCCTACGCTTCCTCTCCGCCTTAGCCCTCCTCTCCTCCCACTCGCGAATCCGACTCTTCTCCTCCTTCAGCACAACCGTCAAACTCGTATGCGGCAGCTTCAGGATATCAATCCTGCCGCGCGCCCGATGATCCAGCTCGCGACCGAACGTGCCTCGACCCACCCACGCCTGCGCGATGTAGATCGCCGTGCGGTCCGTGATGGTCTTGCGCTGACCGTTTTTGAGGATGATGGTGATGGGTGTGGAGGAGGAAGAGGAAGAGGAAGAGGAGAAGGAGGAAGCGGCGCCTCCGCTTCCACTTTCCGCAGCCACACTCTCAATGCCCGCAGCAGGCGCCTGACACTTCCCCAAGCCCATCCCGTGCACAACGATGGCCTCATCTCTAGCCTGCTCAAGATGCGCCTTGACATCCTTCGCCACCTTCTTGGCACTAAACCGCATCTGCAGAATGGCCTCGTCGATATTCTTTCCCGCAATCTGCCGCGCAACCATCATCAGCTTCTTCACGCTCGTCTTGAAGAAATGGCTCTTGCTCAGCGACTCGCGCTCTGTGCGCGCTATGACCTCGCGCCGCGTCAGCCGGCCGCGCCGCTTTATCGAGCGAATTACCATCTTGCGTTCCCAGCGGGCGCGCCGGTTGGGGAAGGGCACGAGGGCGCGGGAGAGGCTGTCCGCGTCCCGCTCGCTGAGGGGGACGTGTTGCATTTTTGGTTCGGTGGGCTTGGCGTAGGTTTGGGTTAGGGCTTCTGTGCCTTTGGCGGTGTGGTCCCGGCGCTGTGGCTTGCGGGAATCGATGGACACGTGGGGGCTGGGGACTATTTCGTCTTCATCGGCGAAGATGGAGCCTGGGGCCAGGGAGCCACGGGAGATTTTGGGAGCGGCGGGCTGGGAGACTTTCAGGTGTTTGTTTTTGGAGGTGGAGGGCTGAGGGAAGATGGGGGAATCGAGGAGGAAGGGGCTTGAGGAGAATGCTCGTCTGTATATGGTTGCTGGGAGTCGTGGTTTGGCTGTGTATATAGGTTAGCTGACATCTTTTTTGCTTGCCCAGGACCAGGTTAATGGGGTGCAGCGCACCTGTCCGAGTCAGCTGCCGGGAAGTGAAGGCAGCACAGACAGCGGCCATTGTGGGGGCTGCTGCGCTTCTCAACTGGCCCTGACGGCAGCGAGTCCAAATTGAATTGGTGCCGTTTAATAGGTCTATCAATTTGTGTCTGTCCTCCGTGTCATCCATTTCCTTCGCCAGAAGTTCGAAGGTTGAGGTTGAAAACGAGAGGAGGCGCTAGTCTGAATGCGGACCGGAAGTGGCGTGCCGAGGCTCCGGGGCCGGGAGTCACGGGGACTGAATTTGGGTAAAGAGCGAACATACGGGGAAACATACGGAGGAACAAGCAAGCGTATAAGCCCAACGTTCCGCCAGGAAATTAACATTAAATTCTTTGCATTAATATGGTAATATGTGTAGTTCATCTGGGTGATGAGGGAAGGGAGAATGGAAATGCAAGATATAAAACAAGATGATGATGATGATGATGATGATGATGATGATGATGGTATAACTATGAAATGGGAAATGAAAAGGTGGGGGGAGTAAGCGGGCAAGGAAAATTCAGCAACCAAATAAAACAAGATAGACACCCCAAAGGCAAGGAAAAATAATCGCAAGTGCAAAAACACCCGCCCACCCAACCATCCACGGCCCCCGTACCTTCAATTTATTAATGCTATTTTCTCCTTCCTTCTCTCTGTCTCCGCCCTGCCTTTCACAGACGCCGTTACTCCTCTTGCCGCTGTCCCTCTCCATTCGTCTTCCCAGACAAAACCATAGCCCGGAAATCCTCATTGCTCTTCTTTCCCTGCCCCTGCACCGGTGCAGCTGCAGCTGCAGCCGCACCCCCACCTCTCTTAACCCCCAAGCCCCCCTTTCTCCCCCCCCTCCCACCAGCACCAACACCAGGCTGCCCAGGCCTCCTAATCATCGTCGCAGGCTGCATCATCAACCCCTTCCCCTTCCCCATACCCTTCCCAACCTCCTTCTCATCTCCAACAGAAACACTTATCCTCTTCCCCCCCCCAATCTCCATCCCCTCCAACCCCAAAGCCGCACGCCCCGCATCACCAACATCCACGAACTCGGCAATGGCGAGCTGTTTCTCCGGTCGCAGGATGATCTTGACGAGCGGCCCGTAGGGGGACACGAGGGAGTGGATGCGGCTGTCATTTAGGGTGTCGGGGATGTTGTGGAGAGTCAGGGTGCGGGGGGATTGGCGGGTTTTGGGGTGCGTTGTGGTTGTTGTTGATTTTGTGGGGGAGGTGCCGTTGGCGGCATCGGCAGCGGTGGTGGAGGGGGATGGGGAGCGGGTTATTACGTGCGATAGGATTGTGGTTGCGGTTCGTTTGGGGCCGGTTGTGGTCGAGATGTGGACATGTAAGGGGCGGGAGTGAAACGGTTGGTCGTTTAGGGAGAGGGCTTTTTCCGCTGATTCCTATATCGATCATCTCACACATTAGTTTTTATCACACACACACACACACACACGCAGACACAAGCTCATGCCAGGCAAATCGTCAAGCATAATCATAAAAAAGTAATAATAATAATAATAATAATAATAGTAAACCTACCTTATCCCTAAACACCACAAAACCAAACCCCTTACTCCCCCCATTCGCCTTCCGCGGAATCCTCACCCCCTCAACCCCTCCCGCCCCAACACAGCCCTCAAACAATTCCCGCAATTCCTCCTCTCCAACCTTCCAATCCAAATTCGACACATGCACCTCCCGCCCCTCGACCATCGGTCCCGTCCTATCCTGGCGCTTGCGCGGGTCAGATATTTTGACGACGAGCGCTAGCTCAGTTGTTGACCCGCCGGCTGCAGCGGAGGGGGAGGAGGAGGTGGTGGTAGTGGCATGTTGTGCGGAAACAGAACCAGGGATGTGCTGCTGTTGCGGTATGTGCTGAATGTGCCCATTCAACCCATCGACCGCTGCATGAGCAGAATGGGGAGACTGGAACTGGACATAGCAAAACCGTCTGTGCGTGTTGTATTTGAGAGAAGGGAACCGGATGCCCAGGATTTCACCGTACTGCGATACACCAACGGGAAAACAATCGTCAGCTTGTCATTTCATTTCCCTACACCAACAGGACAACAAGGTTGCATGTAAAGAAAACGAATGTCAAAGCAAGAACATGAAGCAGGTGGTGATTGATGGTTTACCGGAGCGAAAAGATCGCGAACATACGCTTCATCAGCCGCTGGAGGGAAATTGGTGACGAATAGCGTTGATTCTGTAAGCAGGTTGACGGAGATGGAGTAGTCGTCCAGTTGCTTGTGGTTGCGCGTTTGTGCGGCTAGGGCGTCTTCGTGGGTATTAAACTCGATTATGGCGGTTGGGTGATCCGGTGCGCTGGCGGTTGTGGATTTTGATTTCGTCTGTCTTTGCGACTGAGATTGAGAATTGGAAGGGATGAAGCTTAGGGAGTTTATTTTGCCGCACTAAGCATAGATGTTAGGTGAGGGGAGGGTATATATATGCCATTATTGTAGTGTAGTATATTATCATCACAATGGCATTAGATAAGGGGAACAGGGTAGGGGAAGAAAAGAAAACTTACATCTCTAAAAAACTGCCTCACCCTCATCTCCGTCACACCAGGCGGCAACCGCTTGACAATCACCGTCGCATTCTCCCGATCCCGCTTCAAAGCAGGCGCCAACAAATTCCCACCCGTCATATCCATCTCCATCTCCACCTCTGCCTCCCTTGCCTTCGCCTTCTTATTCGCAGACCCATTCACACCTCCATCATCAACCTCCATTTCTTTCGTCCACTTCCTCTTCCCGCCCCCAGAAGTTATCTCATTATCCACATCTCCCTCACCCATCACCGCCGTTGCCACCGTTTGCTCTTGCTGCTGCTGCTGTTGCAATTTAACCGCCTCCTCCTCCCTTCTCCTCGTAACCACCTTCATCGCCCTCCGAACCCTCACAACAGCAAGCTGCAGCTCATCCGCATCCTCATAATGCTCGCAATGATCGATATATACCGCCATAATCTTCTCAGGCCAATCCAAATCGTTCCTCTGCAGCGCTTGTTTCAACACCGCTGTCGCCAGGGACGGGTTCGGCGTGCGCCTCGAAGCGCTAGCGCTGCCGTCTGATTGCGTAAATTTGCTCCAGCACAGTAGTTCCCAGGTGTAATACAGGAGCCAGAATTCGTAGCTGTGACCATGGCGGGTTGCGAGGGATTTGAAGGTTTCTCGCGCGCTGTCCCAGCTACCGCTTTCGGAGAGGTAGCGAATGTAGATCCGTTCGAGACGGAAGAGAGGGTCGTTGGGCGGTGGAGGGGTGGAGGATTTGTCATTGTTATTTTTGGTCTTGTTGTCGGTGTTGTTGTGACGCTCGCCCAGCTCTTGTATACTTTCTATCGCGGAGCGGATTCCCACTTCAGCAACGTCGAGGTCTTCATCTGTCGAGTCTGGTTGGAACGCGCGCCGGCGCAGGTAACTGCACCATGTCGTATGTACTTTGATCACCTCGTCCACACCACCCGTGTCCAGCAAGCCCGTGCGCGTGGCTTTATGTTTTACATCTGCGATCTGCGTGAAGGAGCGCCCTGCCCGTTCGGCGCTGAGAATGTGTTGGGACCAGAGGGAGCCGGACCAGGGGCAGTGGCGAGTTGCACGCTCGAGGGAGGGGAGGTTGGGGATGTAGGCGTTGTGCCGGCCGCGCTGGTTCATGGACTCTTCGACCAGGAACATTATATAGTCTTCCCAGAAAGTGACGTCGGTGGGGAAGCGGAGGACGGCGCGTTGGTACAGAGCGCAGACGAGGTCGAAGCTGAACTTGCCCTTTCGTCGGTTCTGGGAAAGTTCCCATTCGATATATGCGACGAACAGGCTCCATTCTGTAGCGCTATCACCGGCCTCGACGGCGCGGCGGAGCTCAGCCTCCCGCTCCTCTCGCGCGTTCCAAAGTGCTTTTGCATGGGCGGCTCTGTTCGTCATGTCGACCATTGCCTCCTCGTAGTGGTTGTTGTCATATGTAGAGATGAAGTTGGAGAACATTTGGAACGTTTGGTCCCAAGTCGAATGTGGCACCTGAAGCCTCTTGACAAATAACTCCCTCACATGTCCCAATTTCTCCGGCGACGGCTGCTTTTCGACATCTTGCACGACAAGTTCCAAATACCGATCCCAAACCAGATGGCTATCGTTAATTCTCCAGTTCGTAGCCTCCGCCGCATTCGACCAGACGTCTACGACGGACTGCCACGTAAACGCCGTCTGCGCCGCCAATCTCTCCTCCTCCGACCATTTGCAGGAGGCCGCGTCCTCTCCCGGCTGCGAAACGGAATTGTAGAGATACAGCATCCACTCGCCGTAGATGATCCACAGTTTCGTGCTGCCGTACTCCTCATCGACGGAGCGGCTACACAGCTTCATCACGCCGATCTGCTCATCCACCGTTCGTGCCAGCACACTCTCATCCTGTATCCATTCGGCCCACAGATCCTCTCCGATGGCGAATAGGCTATCGAGTTCCTCCCGCGCGGCACGCAGGTCCTGTAGGACGTCGTAGGTGTGTGGATCTCCGCGGGAATCAGGTGAGGAGGGTGGGTAGACGTGCTCCACGAAACCCTGGTGGAGCAAACGGATGAATTTCACGCGCGACTCGTAGGCATGGCGATTCTGCTGGATATGCGTGTATAATTCTGAGGCCATCTGCTGGTTTTTCGGGGTCAGTGAGGAGCTGCAAAAGTCCCTTCTGCCAGATTCCCTGAATACATCAGACCCATCGTAATGGGACCGAGGGGTGGCGGGATTCGGGTTGCGTGGGACAGGGTTGACTTTCGGATTGAGGGGAGATGGGAACATCTGGCTCTCGGGGATTTCTGTGCTGGTATTCCTGATCATCGAAGGGTTTGCCCGGTGTGGCTGGGGGCGCTGCATGGATGCAAGATCCGCTAAGGCATCTATTCCAGGTGTCGGTGTTTGTCGGGCAGGTGGCTGTTGTTGTTGTTGTTGTTGTTGCTGCTGCTGCTGCTGTTGTTGTTCGTTCGAGGGAGGAGTGCCAGTCCCAGAGCCCTGGCCGATGTCCTGTGGAGACGTGTCGCGTAGTTGAGGGTTGTTGCGGACTTGGTTGATCAAGGAGGATATCATCCCGGGCCTGGCGGAGCTCGACCGGGGCTTGTGGAAATTCTGATGTGGGGAGGAAGAGGAGGTCGTATCAGATACGGGGGTGGGAGTCGGGGTGGAATTGCGACCAGAGCAAGAAGAGGTGGGTTTGGGGGGAGCCGGAGGAGCAGGACTGGACTTGCCCGAGGGCGAGTCCTGCGGCGACAACAGCGAGAAAATATCCATCCTTCTGTCCATCGGCATGCGGAAGTACAGTACAATGGAGGAAGAAAGAGAGGTTTGTAAATTTTTTTTTTTCTTTTTTATTTTTATTTTTATTTTTTTATTTTATTTTTATTTTTTTTGTTTTTGTTTTCTTTTTGAAACGTTGCACAGGAACCTTGGGGGGTTGATGTATCGGGGGGAAACCTAGCTAGCTAGGGAAGCTTCAACTTCCTCCACCACCAGAACCATGGGGTCGCAACAAGATGCAGAGACCGATGCGATCGTCACTAATAAAACTACCGGCTGAACCCACGGGTGCGGAGAAGGGTTGCTGTAGCAGTGAGTTAATAGCAGGAAGGTGAATATATATCCCTGGAAGTCGAATCAATAGGTAGGAGGGCGAACAGCGAGCTCTCGGCTGCTCTCCAATTCCATTCCTTCTGCAGCGTCGTTTTTATACGTATCACCGGTGCCTCCTCGAAACCACCTTTATTTGCCCTTCTGCGAATCTGCGAAGCGATGAAGGGGGGAAATATGAAGTACGAATTAATCGATTGACTCTCCTTTTGGGCCCCCGTAATAGTTTCCCGAGTGTCGCGGGGAGATGTGATGGAACATGTACAGACAGACAGGCTGGCGGCGGGAGAGGAGTAACGAAGGATTCAACGGGATGATGACAGAGCGGACGGGCTAGATAGGGTGCCTCTGTGAGGGAACTAGAGAGGGCGAGCTAGGGGTGAGTGGTAGTTCAGGGCGGTCTAGTGGGGGGAGGCTGGCTGGTTGGTGAAAGGGACCGGGCTGAGAGTGACGTCGAGGTCGAGGCGGCCGGAGAAGCAGTGGGAGAGCGCTAAGGCAAACCATCAACTTGGGAATGGGGGTTATGTACGGGGGAAAGGGAGAGGAGAGAGAGACGGCAAGAGATGGGGTGGATGAAGATGGAGCATAAGAAGAGAGGCGACGGATATTGTTCAGGTGTCGGAATACAGGAGCAGACGGAGGAGGGATTGAGATCGTTGGGCGGTGAGGTCAACGTCCGAATTTTGACGAGGTGGAAAATGTCATCAGATCAAGATCTGGCAGAAACGGCCGTGGCACCAAGCGGGCAGCGGTGGGTGGAAGTATCGTGCGTGGTTGGTGGTTGATCGTGGCGTTTCCTCCGTCTAACGTCGTTCGGGCCCAGATCCTGATATTTATCGAGCAACAGTCAGTCGTTGTGCTTCCTCGAGTCATTGCACGCATGGAAACAACAAGGGATGGAATGGATGCATGTACCGCTCCAGCACACTCTCTATGCAGAGAAACCTTCCACGCCTACTGCATTCCAGAGCCACGGTTCTGGCGGTTGGGCTGGGCTGGACTGGCCTGGATCTGGTCTCAACGGCAGAATTTTCCGTCCAACTGCCCCCAACTTGCTCGACTTCTTCCCCCCGATGCAAGGCAAAAATTGAAAAGGCAAATAAATTTATGCATATCTATACTATCTACGACACCTTGGGGCCGTTTTCGACGAATTCGTTCCATACCAGAAGTCCGCAATGCCTTTCCCAAAACACATACATACGTAAAGCCTGTAACTAGCTAATTAGCTACGGATTCACCTAATTAAAATTTCGCTGATGATCTATCTGCCTTTCCCCCCATCACACGCTGCTCTGTGCGCACCCAGCACCGGCCCCCGGATGCCCTGGCAGGTGTTAAGAACCCACAGTGAAACAAAGAAAACCCAAACGCTGGCGGAATAGTACCCTGCTCCCTGTGCTCAAACCTCCTTTTCTACCCCTTTCTTTTCTTTTTCATTCATTTCACTCCCTGGTCCAGACAGAGAGTATATTCCCGCGTCGATCAGTTACACTGGTTGAACGATTGAACTCTAGACCCTGGGGTTGAAGGGCAGCAGGATCCTCCTCCCGTCTTGCAATTGTCCCTCGGCTCGAGCGAGGTAGTTACATCTTTCCATTTTACATCGGCTACGGCGGCAAAGGGAATAAATAATTAACGTAGTTAACTAATCAAGCTCTGGAAGTATTCGGAACCTCTTGTTCTTCTTTTCTTTCTTCTTCTTTTATTTTCTTTTTCTCTTATTCCTCTCAAGTCTGACTTTTCTCCTTCAATGTTCAGTAACTCTCTTCCCATTTAACCATCCATCAAAGTTAAATTAACCACACGGTCTCCCGCCGTCCCTTCAACAACAAAAGAAGAGATTGCTCTGCAGTTAGTTAACCCGTTAGTTAACCCGGTTTGACGCACTAACCTACCTATGCTCGATGAGATCATAAAATCCCGCAGCAGGTTTCTCTCCTCTCCTCAGGAACTACATACTATACAATCCTGGGATTGCTCTGAACCAGCTGGCACATGCAAATGCCAAACACAAACCCAAATCTCCCCAACCCTGCCAAAAAAAAAAAAAAATCTATCCCTCTCAACCAACCCTTAAACCTAGGCAATGTTTCCGCAAAAAGGCAACGCGCCTCGGACTGGCAACCAAGATGCCCCAACTTATCTGACACCCATTCAACTCTGCTTCGGAACCGGTCCGGGTAACCGCATCCTTGGCAGACTTGAGAGGGAAAGGGGGGACGGTTGGGCTGAAGAGACTTCGGCACTTGGTTAAAGTTATCTTATGTCTCAGAGGCGCACCCGAGCACGGGAGAGCAACGAGAGGACGAGACGCGGGTTATGTGCGTTCTTTTTTGCTTCATGTGGGGATACAGGAGGGCGGGAAATTGCATTCGGATTTCGGCCTTGAGCGGGCATGGCTGCGATTTTTTTTTTATTTTATTTTTTATTTTATTTTTTTATTTTATTTCATTTTATATTTTTTTGTTACCATGCAGTTACTAGCTGCGTTGCTGGTTGGTCACTAGTTGCTGGTTGGCGGTGGAATGAATATGGGATGTGTCGATGAGGTGATGATGTGATGTGATGGGATCTGGGTTTTGCGGTACGTTGAATGTCCTTAACTGGTTGATCGGATCGTATGGACTCCGTTAAGTTAGTTAACCATTGGGTAGTTACGGTTGATGATGCTAAGTTGCTGGTTTTGCCTGAAAGGCTTTCTCATAAACCAAACCTCGAGTTAACCAATAACTAAACTATTAAATTACTAATAGAGATCGCGAGTTTCTTCATCAACTATGCTTTCCTGATCACTAACCTTCTTGTTTTCCGGGCGGGAGTTTGTGGGCATGCTCTTGACGTCATTCGCGCGGTGTTAACTGACAACCAACTAGCGCACTAACGCTCCGGCGCACTGGGTTTCTCTGGGAGAGTGACGGGTCTGCATCTTTGGTGTCTCGACTGAAAACTGTCCCGAGGATAGGTGTGCAGAGCTGTACAGTCTGCAAATGTAGAGCAATCGTTCTCGAGGGCCATAGAAGAAGAAGAAGAAGAAGAAGAAGAAGAAACGGATAAGGCTGATGCTAACGTTGAAGGTGGATAATGGGAAGAAGGGAGTGAAAGACCGCCGGAATCGGCCCGTTGCTTGTGGTCTGTTGGCCTGCGGATACACCGGCAACTCCGGATAGCTTTCTTGCCAATGAAGGGTATGATGGACATAATGTAGACTACGCCGAGCTATCTCCTGTGGAAACTGCTCCTCATTACGGGCCACCTGGGATGCGGGAATGCTGAGGATCGAGTTGAGAACCGCAGCAGACGGATGGGCAGGACTATTAAGGGCTGAGCATTCGTCATTAACTAACATCATTAGGTCCTAATTACCAGACAAGGGATGAGGTCGGTAAAATATTCGAACTGGTCGCTCTCATCAGAACAGTCGCTGACTCCCAAGTGTGCTGCTCTCTTTCTCTCTCCAGCATCTCAGAGGTGTTTTCCTGAGGCTGACCGCTATACTTGAACCTCAAACACCCCGTTCATAATTCACCACTCAACTCATCTGATCATCTCTTTCTAATCTCTTATGCTGTCTTCTTTCTATTTCACAGCTCACAACTTCATCAAACATCTCTTCTAACTGGACGTCAAAAGAAAATACAGCAGTGAATGTATATCTGCATCTGCATTTGCATCACTGACATGTGCTTCTTTTCCTCTTGCGCCATGTACCTGTGTGTCTGAGAATGTGTGGAAGAAGTGTGCTGCACGGAAGTGGGAGTTCCATGGGTATACCAGGGCCCAGGTATGGAGGAGAGTGCACTTGAAAGTTATATATTCAGGGAAAGTGGATCTGACTGAAGCTTGAAGAGTATAGAGAGCAGAGGATCGATAATGGGCGATTTCGTGCTTACCTTGGCCAAGATAAGTATACGAAAAATGGAAACAAGGAGGGTCCAGAGAATGCTCATATTTTCTCATTGATAAGCAGTTTCTTGCTTGAGAAGGGCTGAGATCAACAGGTTGGTTCAGAAATAAGGAGGGGTATCTTCTCACTGACGGACAGGTTGGGCCCGAGGAGATAGATAAGATGGATATGCGCAATCTCAGGATTGATATTGATATATATATAGAAATATAGGCTTGTTTCATGCGTCTTTCTCGCTTTTGATGCGACGATAGGACGATACATGATATCCATGATATAACTGATATCCATACAATATGGGAGGATATGCCGAATGACGCTCCCTTTCTCGTCTTTGTTCCCTTGAGAATTGTGTAGGAATAAGAAGCCTTCACCAAAAAGTTAACCCCAACGTAAGAGTTAACCCATGTTGTTCGTAGATAATCGAGAATAATATATCAAGCTTTAACGATATGCCATGTTCGGCCAAATGATCGAAGAGTTGAAACTCGTAAAATATTGACAAGTAAATTACCGAGTTTGAAAATAATTTCAGAAAAGAGAAGATGAGAATGGTAAGTAGAGTAGTGGACTAAATATCAGTCTGAGTTTTCAGATTTTCTTTTCCTTTTCATTTTTCATGTTAATCGTTGGCTGAGCCTGGGTAGCTGAAATACCCCCCTGGGTTTAAAGAAGTTGTCTTGCTCTGTGGTTTATCTTTGTCAAGGCTGTTATGAACTGACTTGTCAGTGGGTAACATGTCTGGAATGTTATCAGGCCCGACAACTACTTCTTTTACAAAGCTCAACTGATGGTATGAGAAGAAGAAGAGAAGAAGGGTGGACCAGTCGCGGCGGATGATTCGGGCTGCGTGTAAGCTTTCCAGTGCCTGTAATGACTGCTTTTCAACGGACATGTGAGTACCCATGGGCGTCATTCTAGGAATGTGAGGACACACATGGGCACGTACTGCTGAGAGCTGTCTTTCCTGAACAGTTGAAAGGTTGTCGACTATGTCACTGGATGAGAGGTATCCAGCACATCCTGAATAATCTAATCCTGCATTCGCATTTCATTGGCTTCCCATCCTCCACACAAAGACATCACTTTGAGAGCTTCATCCCCTTTCCTCTGGAGGCTGTAAAGCCATCCGGACAGACAGTGGAGAAGCCACCAAATCCTAGTTTACGCTCGACCATATAATCCGTCATTGAGCACTTCGCCAAGAGAGAGAGGACAGAAGACAGGCTGAGTACTACTACCAGGGCTCAGTAATATCATAAAGGTCAGTTTCCGCATCTTCATTCCTCGCGCAGGTGCCACGGTGTGCCGTGTATCGATCGTTCTTGGGGAGTTGGCCGAGGATGTATGTATGATGGCCATGTTGGCGAGTAATAACTATGTATCGCCCGGTAACATACAGTAATTATCATCTCTGATCTGCATGTCATGTAGACTGGTGGAAGAGAATAATGTGAATATCAAGCTGTTCTTTTTACTATGCTCTACCTCTTCAACTATTATCGCTTAGTCAGCCAAGGGGCTACTTACTTAGTTTAGGCGTCAATATAGTTGCCGGTACTTATCTTCTGCGGTAAATATGACGAGGGTCCAGGTCACAGCCGGGGGCGCATTGGCGGGACCTCATCCCTCCTCAACTTCAACTTCCAACTTGCATCCTTACCCGCATCTCCTTGTCTATCTCTGAATATATTATCTAACATTACCTACGGGCCACAGGCCACAGGCTGCAGCTAACCTCTGCCATCGGCATCTCCCCGTCTATCGGGGACAAAATATTCTTTTTCTCCCCGCTCCATTCGTAAAGCGTGTCGAACAACCCGCCGGTCGTGATTGTCGTGATTGTCCAGAGGCCTTGCTGTTACTCTATCCTTCACTCATTGAAGGGAGAAAATTTTGATATATCCCTACCGCTGCCACTGCCGCTATCTCTCTCGTCGTCGTCGCTGTCACCGAAAGAAACCATGGACATTCATCTCGTCCCTCGCAGCGGGAGGAACTACACCGGCTTCGTCACCAAAACCATCGTCTACGCCGCAACTCTCTTTGTATTTCTGACCGGTACTCTTCTTTTCTCCTTCCATTTCTTCCGGTTTCTCCCATGACCACATTGTTAACAGTTATCTAACCCCCCTCCTCCAGCCTCCGTCCTAACGATATCGTCCATAATCCTACCACGATGGATAAGTTTTCAAAGAGGCACCGTACGTTCCAACAACCCCTCCCCCCCCCCCCTCCCCCCCCAACTACAACTCTCGCTCTCCCTCCATCACTAACCTCCCACCCCCAACCACTCAGTCAATTGCAATAACCTACGGCCTCCACGTTCGCTGCATAAGCAACCCAGTCCCAGTCCCAACCCCGAGCCCGACTCCCAACTTCGCCCCCGCCTCATACCAAACAACCTGCTCCCGCTTCCCACAATACGACGACTGCACCGGCACCGACCGCCGCTTCTGTTCCATGTGGCGTACAATTGGCTTCCTGATGTCCTTCGCCGTCCTCCTCGAAGGCATGACCCTGATCACCTACATAATCATCCTGTCCGGCGGGAAGCAAATACGCGAGAGCGGCTGGAGGATTCTGACGTTGTTTTTGGTGCTGGTGGGGCTTGTGCAGTGCTCAGGGATGGCGGTGGCGGTGAGCTTCTTCTTCTTCTTCTTCTTCTTCTTCTTCTTCTTTTTCGTTTTCTTTTTTTCATCTTCAATCAAGGGATATTTATTCTTTTGGGAAAAGAAATTGATGCTGATGTGCGTACTTGCAGTCATACCTCCACGACAACGACGACCATTTCTACCTCGGTTTCCGCCTCGATGACTCCTTCATCCTCTGCACGGTTAGCTGGTGTCTAGCTCTCTTATGCGCCTTGTCCGTTTACATTGCTGCTCGTGTCTTGCCGACTGAAGGGGGGTATGAGTTGATACCTGATCCGGATGATTGATCGGGTGATTCTCTTTTTATTTTTATTATTTTTATTATTTTTATTTATCTATTTGCGTCATTTACCTGTATTCGTTTTGGGTGGCAGGGTTATGATCAGTATGATACTGGAAAGCTCTTCATCTCTTTGATGCGCACACGCATATATATGTATATTTAATATGCAGCAGTGACAGTGTTTGTGATGCGTAAGTTTGTTGATTATGATTTCTTTTTATTATATTTGAATGAATTAACTCTGAATCAATCATTGAATGCTTTCTTGCCGACTTCCTTGTCAGTCTGCATATGACAAAGATTTGTCTCTCAACTTTTTCTTCTTTTTTAATTTCCCAAATTCTTATAAATACTTACTCTACATCTTTTGATTAAATGAACAGTGTTTCATATGTTGCGCAAACTCACTTCCAGCTATCTCTATGTGGCCCTCCCTCTCTTGCTTCAAGTATCAATGTAATTTTTAATGCCCATCTAATCCATTTTAGGTATGATTGCTATGCTATTACCCACTAAAGGCATATATATATATATATATATACGTAGGACAGAACCAGGGGCTGGGTTTCAACGATTGAGTTGATCATGACCTACTTTCTCCCCTATTTTCGCATTTCACTTATAGCTACATATCAACTTCAAGATATACAGATTACCATAATCTATGCATATCTTCTATCTATATCTCTCTTCATTGGAGAACAGTTGTAAAAAAAAAAAAAAAAAACACCCCTCATAACATCATAAAAACTCACCCACACCACCCCCTCAATTCCTCAAAATCCCTTCCCAACACTCTGGCGCCCTCCTGGACTCCTCCCCCTCCCCTCCCTTAGCCCCCGCACCCCCCTTCCTCACCACCCTAACAAAAGCCGGCAGAACCCCCCCGATCCCCACCGGAAACTCCCTATGCCCCACCACTTCCAATAACGACGTAATCGCCCCCGAGTGCGCCGTCAGCGACACAAACTCCACACCCTGCCCCCACACCCCCCGCACGACATCATCGAGCAAGTTGCGCAGCCGCACCACGCGCGCTGCATTCGACTCACGCAGGTCAGGTGTCCAGAGGGGGTCGGTGGGGGCGAAATGCGGTTCGAGGGTGTAGGTTGGGTAGGTGGAGAGGATGTAGGATGTTGGGGAGCGGCGGTCGCAGGTGTGGATGCCTAGGGTTTCGCGGAGGAGCTATATAGCAGGTGGTTAGTTGGACGTGTGGGGGGGCCTCTTTTTTTTTTTTTTTTTTCTTTTTTCTTTTTTCTTTTTTCTTTCTTTTTCTTTTTTTCTTTTTCCTTTCTTTTTCTTTTGCTTTGCTCTTTTCCTTTTTTTCTTTTCTTTTCTTCTCGGGAAAGGACAGAGTGAGTTAGATAGGGAGAAATAGACTGCGTACCTCTTTCTACGGTCGGCTTGAAAGGCACCTGCCAGCCAGCGAGGAGGAAGGTAGGCTGAATGATCAGGATGGTGGTTGCTAGACACCGATCCAACGAACTTGTGTAGTACGA